TGGTTTGAATGCTAACCGTAATCCAGCAATATTCTTCACCACCATGAGCTATATTTTCTTATGAATATTGCATTTATTAATGGGTTAGGGGGGGTATCTCAGCATAGATTTCTGAAATGAACTTTATATGTAGACCCTGTGTTATATATTCAGGAAAGCGCGCCCTAGCCTGCAGGTGCAGAAACTCCTTACTTCTCTCTCTCGCGTTTTATTTTTCCCACTTCTATCTTACCCCTCGCTTACACTCCTCTTCGCTCTACGCCCTAGCTACTTCTTTGCTCTGTCCCTTAGTCTCCAACACCCCTCCTTCACTTACAAGCTAATTATGCAGTTTCGCTTGCAGTCCGTTCTGAGCGCCTGAAACGGGCTCGCGCATGCGCACTACTCAATGAGAAGAAGAAGTATTTTGCGCAGAATAAATTATGGCATTTAAAATGAATAGCAGGTATCCCAGCCATAGATTTACTATAAATAACCATAACCATCCGTAGACCTCACTATGAAATAGAACGAAATATCTTGCATGAAGGTGTCCGCTGATATGCCAATCACTACAACAATCCTGGCTACGTTAGAGTGTCAGCGCTTATGCACAAATTACTCACCACAGAAGCTTATATTTTCTATGAATCTCATGTTATTATGGTTAGGCGGGTATTCTTAGGCATTGAGTTTTTTCTGAAAATAGATTTTTTATGATGTAGCCTTGCGTTATATAATTAGGAGTAGCGCCCTAGCCTGCAGGGGTAGCAAAACCTTAGCTTCATCCCCTCCCGTGTTCCCCACGTGCCTTTCTCTGCCCCTCGCTTACACTCCTTCTCTTCGTCTACCGCCCTCAGCTTATAATTCCCTGCCCGTCTCGTCCTCAGTGTCCCACACTCTCTCCACTCAGCAAGCCTAATATTATGGCAGTTTGCTTGCAGTCCGTTCTGAGCGTCCTGCAAAACGCGGCTCCGCGCATGCGAATATGCTCATGGAAGAGACAATAATTTTCAAACAGATTATTGCATTTAAATGAAGAGCAGGTATTCCACGCATAGATTTATATCATAGAACATCACCATCCGTGAGACATCAACTTAAAAAATTGAACGAAATACTTGCCATGTAAGGTGTCCCGCGTGCAATATGCCAATCAGTACCACCAATCCTGGCTACATTAGATCGTGTAGCGGCACGCGGCAATAATCTCACGCACTAGAAGCTATATTTTCTTATGAATCTGCATTTATTATGGTTAGGGGTATCTCCTTAGCATTGAGTTCTGAAATAATTTTTTATATGTAGACCTGTGTTTATAATTAGGAGAGCGCCCTAGCCTGCAGGGTGCAAAACTCTTACTTCATCCCCTCCCGTTTCCCCACTGCCTTTCTTGCCCCTCGCTTACACTCCTTTTTCGTCTACCGCCCTCAGCTATCTTCCCTGCCGTCTGTCCTCAGTGTCCCACACCTCTCCCACTCAGCAAGCTATATTGTGCAGTTTGCTTCAGTCCGTTCTGAGCCCCTCAAAGGGTGCTCGCGCATGCGCAATATCTTATGAGAAGAATAACATTTTGCAAAAATTATGCATTTACAATGAAGAGCAGGTATCCCAGCATCGATTTATATCATAACAGACCATCCGTAGACCTCACTTAAGAAATAGAACGAATACCTTGCAAGTAAGGTGTCCGCTGCATATGCCACTCGGTACACAATCTGGCTACGTTAGTGTGTCAGCGCATGCACAATATCTCACCACAGGAGTTATATTTTCTAATAAATATGCATTTATTATGGTTAGGGGGTATCTCAGCATATATTTCTAAAATAAATGTTTATATGTAGACCTGTGTATATAATTAGGAGACCGCCCTAGCCTGCAGGGTACAAAACTCTTATTTCATCCCCTCCCGTTTTATTTTCCCACTGCCATTCTTGCCCCTCGCTTACACTCCTTCTTCGTCTACCGCCCTCAGCTATCTTTCCTGCCGTCTATCCTCAGTCTCCCATCCCTCTCTTGCTCAGCAAGCTATATTGTACAGTTTGCTTCATTTCGTTCTGAGCCCCTCAAAGGGTGATCGCGCATGCGCAATATCTTATGAGAAGAATAACATTTTGCAAAAATTTATGCATTTAAAATGAAGAGCAGGTATGCCAGCATAGATTTATATGATAACATGCTACCCGTAGACCTCACTTAAGAAACAGGATGAATACCTTCCATGTACGTAAGATGTCCGCTGCATATGCCCATCAGTACACAATCTGGCTACGTTAGTGTGTCAGCGCATGCGCAATATCTCACCACAGGAGCTATATTTTTGGATATATATGCATTTATTATGGTTAGGGGGTATCTCAGTATAGATTTCTGAAATAAATTTTTACATGTAGACCTGTGTTTATAATTAGGAGAGCGCCCTAGCCTGCAGGGTGCAAAACTCTTACTTCATTCCCTCCCGTTTTCCCATTGTCTTTCTTGCCTCTCGCTTAGACTCCTTAATCTTCTACCGCCCTCA